TATTTAGCTCACACTTTTTGCATTTTTAGAAAGGCAAGAAGAAATAGCAGTGACCTAGACCCTGAAAACTCCATGAAGTCATATGAAAATTCACCCAGCCTGCTTTGTGAAGGACATCTGATTCTGGTTGTCAATTTTATGATTCCCTGGCTACAAAAGAAATCCTATAAAAAAGGACTAAAGCCCGGTAAACTCTAACATTAACTGATTTCATATCACCACAAATTTCCAGATCCCAGGATATGGCCCAAGTTAAGTTTGAGTTATGTCCAAAGACTTTGGTGTTTAAGGTAAGTTTTGAACAAGAAGTACAGCATCATCAAGAATTCTAAATCTTCTACTTACCTACAGATGTAAATGAGGAATTTGGGGCTTTGGTGATTATGTTAAAGGAATATAGTAATCACCTATTGTATCCTATATAGCAATCTGGAATGGTTTAGGTTAGACTGATGTTGAAGCAGGGGAATACAATAAAGGACCTCTGGATAGCTCTCTCAGTTCTATGATTCTGAAGAATCGGAGAAGAGCCACACTAATATACTAGGCATCTAGGTGGTACAACGGTTAAGAGTACTGGACTGGACAGGAAGACCTGTGTTCAAATGTCACCTAAGATACCAGCTGTACAAACTTGGGCAAGTCCCTCAATTTCCTCATCTATAAAATGGGGATAATAATTGCACTTCCCTCACCGAGTTGTTGTGAGGATCAGATGAGCTAATGTATATAGTGCTTTGTAAACCTTAAAGTGCTATATAAATTATTTTTTCACATTGAATGAATAAAGCATTTATTAAGCATTTACTATGTGTAAAGCACTATGCTAAGCCCTGGGGATACAAAAAGAAAAGTTAGACAGTCCCTGCTTTCAAAGAGCTCACATTCTAATGGGAGAGACAAAGCACTTGGTCTTTAGGGTAAAGTGGCAAAGCTGATGGTGATGCCTCTTCTTTAATGTCACTTTCACTGTTAAAATCATATCTGTATCTGATATCAAATCATTTGACAGTGCTGAGGACTTGGATGACAAAGACCTTTCCTTCCTGAGTCTTCAGGAGCTGTGGCTGTGGCACCTGTCAGAACTGCTGCATCTTCACAGGGGTTGCTTTGCAGGATGATGGCTGAGGGTTCTGGCCTGGAAATGTTGCTGCTATTTCACCCTAGACTCTTGGGTCCTGGGCTGGCTCCATCAAGATCTGAGGGGAGATGAGGGTCTAGGGCATGGTAGTAGTGGTGATCTGACTTGGCTGCCACAATAGAATATTCCGGAGGGCAAAGGAGATAGGATTCCAACCAAGAGTCACCTACCCAGCAAAACTGAGTATAATCCTTCAGGGGAAAAAGTGATCATTCAGTGAAATAGAGGACTTTCAAACATTCTTGATGAAAAGACCAGAGCTGAGTAGAAAATCTGACTTTCCAATACAAGACCCGAGTGGAACATGAAGAGGTAAACAGGAAAGAGAAACCATAAGAGGCTTATTAAGGTTGAACTGTTTACATTCCTGCGTGGAAGGATGATATTTGTAACTCATGAGACCTTTGTCAGTATTAGGGTAGTTGGAGGGAAAAAATCATATGTAGGAGGGGAAGGGGACAAGAGAGTAGGGGGATGATAGAGAGGAGGGAAGATTGGGAAAGGGGGCAATCAGAAGCAAATACTTCTGAGGAGGAACAGGGTCCAAAGAAAGAATGGAATAAATGGGGGGGGGATAGGATTAAGGGAAATAGAGTTAGTTTTTCACAGCATGTCTACTATGGAAGTGTTTTGCATAACTGCACATGTATAGCTTGCCTTTTCAATGAGGGTGGGTGAGGAGGGAGGAAGGGAGAAAATTTGGAACCCAAAGTTTTAAAAACACATGTTTAAAAAAATGTTTTTACATACAACTGGGAAATAAGAAATACAGGAAATGGGGTACAGAAATCTATCCTGCCCTACAGGAAAATAGAAGGGGAAGGGGGGGAGAGATAGCAGGTGAAGCAGACTAGGGGAAGGGGTATTCAGAATGCATGCCATCTTGGGGTGGGGGGAGGGGTGAGATGGGGTGAAAATTTGGAACTCAAAATTTTATGGAAGTAAATGTTGAAAACTAAAAATAAAAAATTAAAAACAAAAACAAAACAAAAAAAGAACAAAGGACAAACAACAACAATAGCAACAAATGAAAAAAAGAAAGAAGAGCAGAAAACCAATGACTAAACTTTGGGAAATAATTACAGGATGGGAAAATAAAGATAATTCCGCAAAGAAGATAGAGAATGAACAGTTGCAGTGAGAAGAAGAACTGTGTGATTGAGAGTTGGTGAGGATACCTTGATCAATTGATTCTTACCCCCCACAGATAACAGAGACAACTGGACATCAAAGTATTAAATGAAGTACAAAGAAGTACCTATACTCGTTGAGTTTACAAAGAGTGAAGACTTTTTCCTTGATGGAATTAGAAGGGTAGCTTGCCACTGGCTGGCTGAATATCGGCTTTAGAATGGCCTTTAAAGAACTAGCTTAGCAACTTGCCAACTCTTGAGACAGTGGAAGCTGGAGAACTTTGTAGAATGTGACCCCTGGAAATCTAGAGGATAGCCAGCTATGGAGGAAAAACCCAGCTATGTGAGGAAACTGCTCTCTTTCTTTCCCTTATGCCTCCAGAGGGCAGTGGCAGAGAAGAGGATTTCTATCCCCCCAACCACATCAGCTAAGGCACTTTGCATCAGAATTACTTGCCCATGAGGAGATATCAAGTCCAGTAAGGAGTAGGCCAGAAAGAGAGTCCATAGAGACTACAAAGAATGTGAGCCCTGGCATCAGAGGAGGCAGTCAGCTATGGATTCAAGTAAGAATTATCCTTGGAAGTCAAGGCAAACTGCAAAGAGGAGCAGGCATAGGGATCCCAACTGAGTAACCTGCCCAGCAGATACTGTAGCTAGGAGAGAGAAGCATGAGGGTACCATAAGAAAAGAAAGGATGTGAATTATCTTGCCTATGGGTGTCCCTGCTATGTATGTATCTATAGATTCTTTTCGCTATATGAGAGAGTGCCTCAGGTTTATAGAAGAATGTTTTCTTTCTACTCTTCTTAAAAAGCCATCTTAATAAATGCCTTTGCTTTCAACTACTTGTGCCTATTAAAGGTAAGCTCCCTGGTAGGGGCTCATAGTTTTAGGAGTGTAGATACACAAAGTACCTTGAATTTAGGTAAGCACCCCCACCCCCTGCCAAGATCCAACCTGCAGCCTGTACTAAGAGAATGTGCTATATTAAAAAATAGCTTTGGTGTGTTCTGGCCAAAGCCACCTGTTAAATGGCCTCAAGTCAGAAACTGATTCTCTAAGATTCAGTTGAGGAACTAACTTGTCATGTAACCTTGGGGAAACCACTAAACCTTTCTAGGTCTGGGTTTCCTCATCTAGCAAATGAAGTGGTTAGACTACATAATGTCTTCTAGCTCTAAAATGCTGTAGTTTTAAGATAACCAGACACAGTACCTGGCAGACTTAAAATGAAAAGAAGAACAAATGAGGAGATGGTGAAAGGGAAGGATAAGGGAAACTGGGTCAGGGAAACTTAATACAGGAAACTATAAGAAATGCTTCTCCAGCAAAAAGCTTTCTATTGATACATATTCACGACTAGGACCCTGTAATACTTAAGGTTAGCTTCATCCTACAGCCTGGCTCTGTATCCAACTCTAGTCCAACCTTGGGAAGATGGGTGGAGGAGAGTATCTGAAGGACTAAACAAGTTCTAGAGTTTTCAGGGTTTACATTTGCTCTAGGGTGGACCAAAGGCATCTTTCTAGAAGCACAGAATCTTCAGGCTTACCTGGGCCTTCTCTAAAACTCTCTTAAATTCTAGAGTAGTCTTAGAACTGGTTTAGCTTTTTCAATAATATCTAGGTTAGGGTTTCAGGAATGAAGGGGCTGAAGAAAGTGAAAACTGCAATTGGCAAAGCTGGGGTTTAAATTCAAGCATTCTAGTTTCAAGGCCAGTGTTCTTTCCTCAATGTCATGCTACCTGCTCCATGGCAATGCCACCTTTGATCCAGAGAAGCTGATCTTAAGAAGAGAATCTCAGAAGGCTTGACTGCTTCTATGAGTCTGTCAAGGGTGAGGAAACTTAGGTTCATTATTTGCAAATCCTGCCAACAGGCAAGACAGTATAGTGGGAAGAGCATTGGGCCAGCAGTCAAGAGATCTCCTAGTTCCACTACTTACTCAGTATACCAACTTGAGCAAATTGCATAACATCTGAGCCATTTAAACCACAATTGTAAAAGTGGAATAAAACTTTCTGGAACTGGCAATTTAAAAGTCACCCACACAGTCTCTAGACGTAGAGCTAGAACATTGAATGAAACAACAAATAACACAGAGGGGAAAGTTCCCGATTCTAGCCTCTAGGATCTACCTCTTTCTCTGTGTTTTATCCTTAACATACAGAGGAAAGAGTGAGAAGGAAAGGAGAGGCAAATAAAGTCCTAAATCACTGGCAGAAGTACTTTTCTCTTTCAGTAAGTTAATATATTTTTAAAAATTTTATTTTTATTCTGAACTTAAACATCAGTTAAAATGGGCATTTCCATATACACAATAAAAAAGAAAAAAAGGATTGTTCATGAAACTGTGGGCCTCTATTACGTGCAACTCAGTTTTCTTTTAAAGCATATAATAAATTCAACCTGCACCTTTTTAAAAAGTTGGAGTAATTATACTATTTCACAGGTTTTCTGTGAGGATCAAATGAGATAATGGATGTACCAGTCCTTTGAAAACTATAAATAACTAGATAAATTTTTGTATATTTTATTTAATTAATTTAATTCAATAATTTGATTTTTTGTTATTTAATACTTTATTTTATAATTTATTACATAGATTATTACACAAATGAAAGGTATTTTATTATCTTCACTGAAGAAATTCCATGGGCAACTCTTATAACTGAATGAGACTCTTTCCCCTCCAATTTGTAGATCTCCAAATAACTCACTCACCTCGAGGTCCAAACATATTGTCCAGAAAAGCATTGACTTCATTATCAAAGGCTGTTAGCTGCTCCTGAAAAGATAAATGATAGGTACTTTAAGTTTCTTTTTGAGGAGTATAGAAACCCAAAGGGCTTTGGACAGCTGAATCTCATGAGGTCTTAGCTCTGGGACCTTTAATTTGAAAGAGAGGAAAAAAGAAAGGGAGAAGAGGTTAAAAATGCCCCTGCACCCTTGGTCAGATTGTGGGGATTGGAAAGGAAAAGGTACTTCTTTAATCATCTTAGGCTTCTTAAAATGCAAGTCGTGGTAAACAAGCTCTATGAGCTCAACTCATTTCTTGCATATTAATGTCCCAGGTTTACTGACCCAAATTCTATTGACTTCCCCTGGCCCAAATCCTTTGAAAGGCCCAGAGGGCACAAATACAATTTTGAAATGAAAATTTCACTCAGATCAATTGCCTAAATGTGAATATGAAACTTCAGAGAGGAACATCTTTTTAAATACTACACACTGTGACAACTATCTTTTTTTTTTGCTACCTTTCCACATTTTTCCTCAATATAATCTCTTGTATCTCAGTGCACATCTGAAACTCCACTAAAGAATACTACTATTCCTTTCATGTTCCACATAGCAATTCTATCCTTAACTGGGACCAGAAGGAAGCTACTGTAAGCTAAAAAATCTAGAATAAGGTGTCTTCTCCTGTTTGACACAATCCCATTCATGTGAATCTGTCATTTCCTTGCTTAAGGGATCTGCTAAGATGCTCTCTATCCTTGCTATAGAAACTGCTTTCAGCAACTGTGTAGAGAAGGCAGGCGATGCCTAAATTGCCATGCCTTCTTCAGTGTGGGAAGGGAAAGTCTATCATCCTATTTGTTTCCAGCAAAGGAAGAGGCCTGTCTCTATGAGGATTCATTTAATACAATTTTGCTAAACAAATCATATACACAGAACTGTATGAGGTGCTGGAAGAGATTTAAATTTTATATGAGATTTAGTCTTTTGTCCTCATGGAGCTTATAGTTTAATACAGAATACAATACATATACACTTACAAAACAGTAATCATGGTAGGAGGAAGGAATATAGCCCAACTTCCCTCACAACTACTCCACAAAGACCTAGAAAATGTGCCATACTGAGTCCTGAGATATTACCTTTTCCAGCCTAAGTGGGTATAGGGAGGTCTTCAGCCACTGAGGACAAGATATGACCAGGAGGACACTCCAATGAGACTTCCAGTTCAGGGACTGAATTGCTGGCCTTGGGCTAAGCATACCAAAGGGCAGGGAGCAAGAATGGGTAAAACTGGCAGCTCTATATTTCACATCCCCGAATTGGATCAAATATCCAGAGCAGCCTGAGGCAGGGACATAATCCTAGAGGCCATGGGTCAGGGCAAAGAGCAGTGAGGGAGGTGCTATAGACTAAGGGAAGGCTTCAGAGAAGAGGTGGCATTTGAGTTGAGCTTTTAAAAAAATAGATAGAAACTCAATAGGCCAAAATGTGGGAGTGAGGACTTATCAGCCACAACAGGATTCTTTTGGCAGCTACTCTGTCCCTGCCTACACAGAAGATGAGGCAATTGGTCCTCAGTTCTAGGAGGCTGGTGTGGAATGTGATGGCTGTTCAAGTCCAAAGGTCTATTTGTGATATTAAATGGCTCTGACTTTCAAAACCTGAAATGTCCTGAAACGGAAATAATGATTTGGCATAATCCCTGAAAGGAGGCTCTACATATTTTAGTCCTGAGCACTTCAATCAGACCTGTACCTTTCCCCCTGGCCCTGGAGCCTTCCACTGAATGAAATATTTGCTCACTCTAGGTCAGAGGTACTTAACCTGGGGTCCATGAACTTGTTGGGTTTTTAAAAAAAATATTTTGACTACTGCATTTCACCATAAGTGGTTTGCTTTGTAACCCTATGTAGTTTGCTTTACATACTTAAAATCACTATTCTAAGGAGGGATCTGTAGATTTTAGCAGATTGTCAAAGGGGTGCATCCATGACATAAAAAAGTTAAGAACCTGGTTTAAAGGATCTGTGTAAAACTAACAGATATTCTCATTCAATGTGGCCACCTTCAGACTTTACACAGAAGGAGCCTGGAGGCTCCTGGAACCAAGCCAAAGGCAAATGTGCTTGCTTTTTCAGGATAAAAAGTTTTAATCTGTGCTGCCTTCCCTCAGCACTGGGCAGACCTGTATTTGGCCAACGAGGTTGAGGCCAAAGGTGAATGTCAATCTTATTGAAGTATCCTTTCCTTTCTCCTGCCATAACAGATAGCACTGAAAACTCCTTCTTGGGTGCTGAATCCATCAGGTATCCAAGTATGATAAGGCTATGGAAAAACAACTGTGAAAACCTGTTTGATTTATACTAACAGGAAAATGAAGTCTGAGCTAAGATTCTGTTTAAAGTGTGTAAGGCTGGTGATCTTTTTTTACATTTCAATTGCACTTGTTTGTTGGGAGAAAAAAAGGAGAGGAAGAAGGAAAGTAGTGAGGAGAAAGGCAGGTGAAGGAAAGACAGAAATCAAGAGGTAATGAGAGTGAAAAAAGCTGAATAGTTTCCTAGGTCTATGTTATCCAGAAGTTCCTCAAGGGATGTAGAGAACTGAGGGGTTTCAGGGGACTAAGGGTCCCTGCATCTTATGTTTATCTCCCCTATGTAGCTCCCAGCACAATGTTGTGCAGGCTGCAGATGAACAATAAATATTTGGTGTATTGTATGAGTACAGTTTAAGTATTCTATGTAGGTCAAACTTTCCAAAGAGTAGTAATTTTCAATTTTTTAGAGTAAGCAGGCTTCTGGCCCACAGACTGAGAGGGAGTTGAGTGGCTGATCAGTGGGGAATTGCAGGGATCTCTTTGCTGGTGCTGAGGCAGGATGCTCTTGCTTTGCCTGTGCTTGGGTCTGGGTCACAGTTCTAGGTGGCGATCCTGGGGCAAGGAGGAGTGCTGGCATGGTAGAGCTTGTAGTGACAGTTCCAAGGCAGAAAAGAGTGCTTGTGGTCACCTACAGACCAGAGCACAGGCCAGGAAAGGAGTAAATACCTTGCCCTTGATCATACCACCTAGGAAAAACTGAAAACTTACAGGTCCTTAAAAGTATCTCTGAAAACAGCTGCACAAAACCCCTGAAGCTTAGGACAGTACATTCTCCACATTGGAAGCAGACCCCTACCTTAACAAAGAGTTTAAAACTCAAGTAATTGGCTGGGATCATGAGCAAACTATGCAAAAAAGTCAGACCTTAGAATCTTTCTTTGGTGACAAAGAAGATCAAAACATACAACCACAAGAAGACAACAAAGTCAAAGCTCCTACATCCAAAACCTCCAAGAAAAATATGAATCAGTCCCAGGCCATGGAAGGGCTCAAAAATGATTTTGAAAGCAAATAAGAAAAGTAGAGGAAAAACTGGGGAAGAGAAATGAGAGTGATGTAAGAAAATTGTGAAAAACTAGTCAACAGCTTGCTAAAGGAGACCCCCAAAAATACTGAAGAAAATAACACCTTAAAAAATAGCCTAACCTAAATGGCAAAAGATGTCCAAAAAGTCAATAAAAAGAATGCCTTAAAAAGCAGAATTGGCCAAATGGAAAAGGAAGTCCAAAAGCTCACTGAAGAAAATACTTCCTTAAAAATTAGAATGGAGCAATTGGAAGCTAGTGACTTTATGAGAAATCAAGACATTGTAAAACAAAAACAAAAGAATGAAAAAATAGAAGACAATGTGAAATATCTCATTGTAAAAACAACTGACCTGGAAAATAGATCCAGGAGAGATAATTTAAAAATTATAGAGTAAGTGGCTTCTCTCTAATAGCACCATTTGAGGTCCTACAATGTCCCAGAAACTTTATAAATCTTTTATCATTTGATCCCTACGTCAATCCCAAGAGGTAAATGTTATTATTTCCCCAATTAAGGGAGCTGAAGCTAAGCAAACTCAGGGTCACACAGGTGGGTGGCATCTGAGTTCAGATTTAAACTCAGGTCTTCCTGACTCAAGGCCCAGCACTCCATCCATTATGCCACCTAGCTGCCTCTTGAGCAGGCCTTTAGCATCACACTTAATAGAGATAGACAGTTGCCTTCACCTACTCAGTTCTCAACTCCTTGCAATTTGATTTTGGCTCCCACCATGGTACTACTATAACCTTAATAAGAGTAAATAATGTATATTATTGAAAATCTTCTTTTAAGAACACCTGAAGATACATTAGAAATATATTTAAGATAGAGATAATGAAGCTATTAGATCAACAGATCAAGCCAAGTCAAAGCCCAGAGTAGAAAACCAGATGTAGTAATACATAGAGACATGAATGCTGAGGATTTTAGTATGGTGTAGCAAAAAATTCTTCCAATTCCTACAGTATCTATGTGATTTCTGATCTCAGCTTCCTTACTCCTAAAATAAGAGGAGTTGGATTAGTTCATTTTTAAGGTCCCTTCCAGCCCTAGATTGATGAACCCATGGCTTCACTAGTGCCAGATTATCATGAGGAATTTTTAAAAGATACAGGAAGCTCCAAAGTGTTTTGGAGAAGTTATCAACTGGAAAAAAATTGCATCAAGCATCTTTGAAGAAAGTTTGAATATCCAAGATATATAGGAAATTGACATAAATATATAAGGACAAGAGCCATTCCCTTGTTTATAACATTTCTGTAGTTGGTCATCCATGTTTGGCTAGGAGACCTTCAGTTCTAGGGAACACATGAACCACTGAAAGAATTCATTCCATTTTAGGACAGTTATAATTATTTGAATGCTTTCCCCTAAGCTTCAGACATTCATGGACTTTTAATAAACAGTTAACACTTTAACAAAGTTGTCAGTTTAATAGATTAGCTGACTTCTGAGAAAATAAATGACAGATAGGTGCCCAAAGGAGGGGCAGTGGTGTTATGAGAGAAAAAAGCAGGGAACATGGATAGAAGAGGCTGGAGTGCATTAAAAGCTACATCTCCTACTTCACAATTTTGATGAGAATCAACCCTGGCATATAAAGGACCATCTTAACAGAATGACAGGGAAAAGTTTCCAAA